ATTCTGCTTAAAAATAAGTAAAAATGCAATATCTCGACACCAATAAGCTAGCGGCACGAACTTTTTTTAGGTTATTCATAGACCATTAGGGTCTACATGATGCTTATAGTATCGACTCAAAAGCGATGTGACACTTGGGAATGCTCCCTCGTAAGGATCTTTCACATTTTTCATTAATGTTCTATATCTAATTTTAATTGATTATTCAAAAACAAATAATATTAGAAGAAAATATGAAATGTATGTCTATATTTATTTCATTTTAAATCCCTAACAGCTTATTTTGTTTTTCTCTGTACTGTTTAAACATTTTATTTTTGAAATGAACGAAAAAAAAACATGATGATTATCGAAGCAAACCAATATTATTTCAATAAATATATTTTCTTACTTGAAATTTCGAAATATTTTAGGTAATAATATAAATATGACTAAAAGATTTCGATGTGGTCGTTTAACCGTAACAAAAGATGGTAAAATAAAAAAACTTGAACTTGAAGATGGTGGTGGTAGTCGTTTTTGCCAATGGGATTCAATTGATATGGATTTTGATAGTATTCATCATAGTCTTATTGATATTTTTAAATTAGGTAAAATTAAATATATATAAATAATTTTAATAATATTGAAATATTCTTTAAACTAGATAGTAAATTAAAAACATCATTATATGATTTTCGACATCAACTATTAGATATTAATAAATATAAAACATTATTTGAATATATTAATCAAAATGGACTTAATATATCCAGTACTATCATTTATATTTGTACACATCATGGTATATTAAATTGGATTCTTATTAAATATTTAGATCATTTTTTTTTATTCTTTCAGTTGATGATAATGATAATCAAACCAGGATAGTGAAGAAAAGGTCAAAAACATCTCCGATTTCCATGCCATCATCCATGACGAATGCATCAAATTCACAACAAAAGTAAATATAAATTTTTAATAATTTTTTTTTTTTTTTCATAAATTCATTTCTTTTATTAGAGTATCTAATTTAACAAAAACTACATCTTCAACATCTATTGACAATAAACATATTAATAAGAATGAAGAAGAATTTAATCAAGGAAAAATTGATCTGTAAGATATTTATGTTTGTTAATTATTGAATTAGAAAAATCTATTCTAGATTTAATGGTAACTAATTTATAACTGTTAAAATTGATCTGAGAAAATTCTTTACTATTTAGTATATTCATTTGAAAAATCTAATAAAGATTTAATTAATAATATTCGGAGTTTTATTCGTCAATATGGTCTTGATTCAATTCTGTTACAATTCTTTGAATATATATGCATAATTGAAGGTTATGTTCATTCAACTATTCATCCATTAAATCAACAAATAGAACATTTTATTCAAAATTTTGATTTATACAAACAATCAGAAATTGATTTTTATTCAAAAAATTTAAATGATGTTTATAATATATGTCGATCAGCAAAAACATTGATTAACGTAAATAAGAAAAAATTCGATCATATTGAGCAATTTTCAATTATTATTAATTCATGTTCGGAATTTTATACAAATTTAAAGGTATTTATATATATTTTATTTTTCAAAATAAAATATATGTTATGGGCAAAATTAAAATGTTTTCTTTTGGAAAGAAAAGAAGATCAAAAAGAGAAACAAATAAAGTTTAAGTAATTTTTATTTTACAATAAATTCCTCTATGTATTAGCTGAACTGTAAATTTATGTATTCCATGTTTAAACATCCGCCTCTCTTTGAATGACATTTGGTAAAACAGAAAGCGTTTTTGTTTTTTGCATGGACATGTTTTTGTTCCACATTTGCTTCGACAATTGCATGTACGACCAGTTGTAGAACCACGTGAATAAATTTTCGAAGTTTCAATAATGGCAATTACTTTTAAATTAGCAACATCCGAGTTTTTTTAATTCAGTTGGTCAAGCATCTTTTAAATTCAAGAATTGTGAACCTTCAAATGTGTTAGTCAAAATTCCATATTGACAAATTAATTTAAATGAGAAATCATTCTGACTTACTTTCCTTACTTGTATAGATAACTATGAACAGAAAACGAAACAAAATCAACGAACACATTAACACTATTTCTTCTTTTCGTTACAAAAGAAAACATTTTAATTTTGACTGGGCAGATTTCAAATTTGACTGAATTTCATTTTGCCCATAACATATACATTAACAAATTATTACAATTTGTCTAACCGTGACAGAATCACGTTTGTTTTTTTTCTTGCTTTGTCTCTTAAATATCTCATCAGAGCTCTGTCTAATAAGGCTAATATTCTGGAAACATATGGGCGTGCTTAGTCAGCATGGTACCCCATTAATATTTTTCTTGATACAGTCCTATTGTAAGGATAAAACATACTATTGTCTGGGCTATATGAAAGAGGATCCAGATAACCCTGTATTGACCCGAACAACACCATGGTTTATCCTTACCATAGTAGAGGAAAGCTATCTGTGAGTTTGTATTTTTTTCTCTACTATTGTAAGGATAAACCATGGTGTTGTTCGGGCTAATACAGGGTTATCTGGATCCTCTCTCATATGACCCGGACAATAGTATGTTTTATCTTTACAATAGGACTGTATCAAAAAAATATTAATGGGATACCATGCTGACTGAGCACGCCCATATATAAATTGAAATGCTCTACACATTGGTAAATTTCCATTAGATCTGGTATTTCTTTTACATTTTTATGAATGAAATAATTATCCATGACGGAATAACCAAAAATGGACATCTACCTTGAGGCTTGTTCTAAAGAATGAACAAAATTTCAGTTTTACGACAAATGTGATAAAAAAAAATTCTATAGGAAAGTAAGTCAGAATGATTTCTCATTTAAATTAATTTGTCAATATGGAATTTTGACTAACACATTTGAAGGTTCACAATTCTTGAATTTAAAAGATGCNTATATGAGATTTTTATTTAATCAATTGATTGTTTGTTTGTTTGTTTTTGTTCGCATGAAATTATTCGATGATGAGAACAATTTAGTTGATCTCATGTACTGTCAGATGAAATTTGTTTAACCATCATTGAGATATTAAATAGTTTTATATCTATAACAGTTCTTATACAAATAGTGTACATATTACTAAATCGATTATGATGAGTATATTAAAAGTATAGAGATATAAGGCTGTAGATCTTATTCTACGATTTTATTAAGTTTTCCAAAGAAATTCATATAAAATCTTAATATAAATTGATTTGAGATTTTAGAATAAATGTTCAAAATAATAATAAAAATACAATAAAAAAGAAGGAATTTATTTAGTTTTCATATTTTCTATTATTTTGAAAAATATATGTAAATCCAATATTCCGATCTTTTCAGATCTTATGTATCAATCATCATTTGTCTATATTAATAAATCACTCACCTACATAAATCATAATACTAATCATATTCTAAAGAAAAAAAAACAAGTAATAGTTTTTTGAGGCAAATATAACAACTAAGGTACTGAACAATTGCTTTAATTGTCATCAATAATATAAAATAGCATGAGATTTTAGAATAAATGAAGAAAAATAATATGATTAGTATTGTAGTTAAATCTATGGCTTAAAAACATGCCTATGGTAACCAACAGATAAGATCTGAAATGGTCAATCTATTCAATTGATCTTTTGTTTTTTTAAATAGATCAAATTTTTTTCACTGCTGCTACATTATTACTTTTACATCATATGGTAAAATTCCATTTGAATACTAGAAATTCAATAGACTTTAAAGTACAATTCAAGATATAGTACAATGAGAGCGATTCGATACATAACCCTATTGTATGGATTATTACTATTGTTATGTACAATTGGAAGCTGTGTTAATTTTCAAAGTATTAACAGTCTTCATCAAACTATTGATTTCTGGTTTTTAAAGAAATCTATGAAAATGGTTAGAAAAACTGAAGTCATAGATTTTTAAAATATTGCTGAAAAACAAAAATCAGAGATTTACACATACGATGTATTTTTAGATTTTAGAAATAAATATGATTGGAACGAAGTTCTAAGTTTTCCATATCTGATACTATTTTAGAAATATATAGAGTAAAATTAACGTCTTATGTAGCTATTAGTTTATTAAAAAAAGAATAAACGAATCAATTTAAAAAATGAGAAACAAAATAAATACATTAAATCAGAATAAAACAAATAAAGAATACGCATTTCAAGCGATAATGTAGTTTGAGTGTTCTCTAAAGGCAGAATTTATATTCACAAGCACTTTTATCACAATAAAATGTACTTTTATAAAAAAGTGTTAGCTAGCTAAGCGATGACATACATTTGTACTTTATGCACACATTTATCAAACGTCATTCATAAAAAAAATAGTAATTCAATAAAAACACACAAAGATTTGCTGCAATTTGTTTCTTGCAAAGTATTATTTTCCTAAGTACTCTAAATACTTCTTCGAAAATAAAAATCTTCAATAAAATTTCACACGTACCTTACTATTATAAGCACCCTCACCCTCAAGATAAAGGATTCATGTATCTTTATCCTTTATATTTTAAGGAATAGAAAATAAAAAGAGGAGAAAGCGAAAAATAGTCGAGAACTTTGTAATAAGAGAAAAATGCTTTATAAAACAAAAGACACTCATTGAGACAAATAAACATGCAAACACAAAAGAAAATAATAGCAGTTTACAAATTATGAGCAATTCCCCCTAATTGGTGTAGTAATGTTGGATGTGGATTCGAAATAAAGATTGTTGAATTAATACAATTGATGCGAACTCAATCTTTAAACTTGCCAGTTCGAGCATGCTCACATTTCCAATAAGTTTTATCTTTATTTTTTATCGACTGTGTCAGCAAAGTCTTCACATAGTAGTAAAGGTTTATTCTTTTGCGTTGTACTTAGTGTAAATATAGATATTTTGGTAAAAAGTGACACCAACTCTCTTGCGAAAGCTCTATAGATATATCTCAAACAGCTCGTTCATATCATCATTTTAACATTAAAGAGAAATTATCGCTTATAATAATTCTTCTTTGAAGCAATCCACAGATCAATTCAAAGTAACTTCTGCCTGCTTATCAGTCTCAATGAATCTTATGATTAAAAAAATTTGCTCTTTTCTCGACCATTTTTCGTAGACCCCAATTTGAAATTTGCCACTTTATGTAAAATTGCATTATGAAATCTCTAAACACTAATTTCTACTTGCATTTCGAATATCGAATATATTTCATAATTCTTTTCTGTTTTATCAAATTCATATTGTTTTAATATAAACTATTTCTAGTAATTGTTTTCTTTAGATTTTATACAATAATTGGTTTGAGCATGTTGAAAAAAACAACAACAATAACAAATATAATACATTATCATCTTCATTGATTCATCCAATTGAATCCATATCATCAAATTCGAATATAAAATCTTCATCGGAATATTCTAATGAGATAAATGTAGAAAATTTCAAAGAACAATTGCAAACATCATCATCATCATCAAATAAATCTGCACCGTTATTATCAACACGAAAACTATTTGATAATGAAGCTGGTGCAAAATTTCTTCTATTTCGACAAGTTAGTCAAATATAAATATCGAAGTAATGTTTACCAATTTTTATTTTAATTTTATTTTATATAGTTATTAACTCGTTTCAATGATTTATCACAAATACTTAAAAAACATAAGTTATCATCTTATTATCAAATGGTTGAATTAACAACTTCAAAAATAAAAAATATACGATCACATATCGATTTATCAAATGGTCTATCAATGCTTAAGGCAAAAACGATATTTTATTAATCAGAGCTGAATATAGAGAAAAATTTAATAGTAAGTATTTAAAACATAATAAATATAAAGTTGGTGAAGATGTTAAACAATTTTGTTTATGTCTAATGAAAACAATTCATAATGTATCGCGAAGACTTCATCGTCTTCGAATGTATGTAGATAGTAAAAAAAAACTCTAACTAAAGAATTAAATCAGTCGTCAACTACTTCGTCTGTCATTACACAAAAGTAATATTAACGTCAATAAACAAAAATTCATTACAATCAGAACATTGTTTTTATTCATAATATTGATTAAACAAATCTATCCATTGAACATTAAACTTTTTTAAGCAAAATCTGACAAAAAGCAAAAAAAAAAATTAAACAGAACTGCTTAGATTCACATAAAGTAAAATATTGTTTTATTTCTGCTCTATGAAAATATGTTATTATTTTTGTTCTGTGTTTTTTTTTTGTTTTGGATTGAGAAAAGAAAAAATAAAGATCAATATACGCAGATAAAAATTTTTTTTTTTTCAAATATTCCAGACTTTTTTTTTCTTTTGTTTTGTATTGTATTTGATTGAAATGATACTTCTGCGTATTTTAGTTTCTTTTTTTTGTCTTAGAGTAAAATTTAGTATCGGAAATTTAAGAATATCCCACAGGTCGAGAAATCCAACCATTGAATCCTGTCGGATTCAATGTCGAATTGTGGAGAAAATCATCGGATTCCGACTTCATTCGATGGAATTCTGTCGGATTCTTCAACGAAAGATAACATATCCGACAGGATTTAGTCAGATTTTAACCGTTAGTCTTCACCGCTTTTTCTCTTTTGCAGATTTACTATCACTGGTGAAATATACAACAAATAATATGATTTTCCACACCAATAGTAAAAAATCCACTGTCTGTCCTTATTATGTCTTCATCGAAAATCGAATGCGAGACAAAACCAGATATCATTATTAAATGCAATATAAATACAATGATAATACGTAACCTATGACTTTACACTTGCACCCTTACATCTATATCCTTATTCCTATATCCTTATATCTATACTTTTACACTTATAGTGTGGGTGTTAGTGTGAGGTGGGTGTGGGTCTGAGTCTTCTAGTGACCCAGACCCACACCCTCTATCGGAATAGTTATACTACCATTCTATTTTATTTCAACTTTCTGATTGACTTTTATGTATAATATTCGTCTCTGCTACATTACATAGTGAGCCAGTGGATTGTATATCAATTTTGAAATTCCAAAGGAATCTGATGCAGTTTTTCACAAGGGATTGGAATCTGAAATTTTGACTTTTATGATCCGAGAAGATAATGAGGAACTATCATTTATTCCAAAAAGACTTCAAAATGTATTTATAGTATTCAATTCATATCTCTTTGAAAATAGCATCTAAATGCAAAAAAATCTATTACTACAATGATCAGTGCAAACATTTCTACAAGTCCTGGACGATTTAATAGATATAAACACGATCATCGGATCAACCTGGTGACATCCCATGGATATATCCTACAACTAAACTCTTTCAATTTACAACCAATAATCAGTTTTTGACATTCAGAGACATTATGTTCATTAAATTTTTAACAGAGCTAAATTGTTCATTATAATACTCCCATTTTATACTTGAATGAGATTGATCAAGGTGTACCTTGGTCATAAAAAAGGATAGAAAATTTAAAAATAAAATAGACTACCTGATCGCTATTCAAGGCATCGGTTCATTGGCAAAAAGAACAATCAAGAATAATAATACTTACTCTTTTTCAGCATTTTAACATCTTTGACACTGTCGATAAGCACATTCAGTCAATGGTACAGGATCTTGCTGTGTCAATGAACACATCAAACAAATATATGCATCGCATTAAGAATATTTTTATTTTTTTGCATCGATATCCAGCATGATAGAACAAAATTCTCAGAAATGTCAAAAACCAATTAAACGACATAAGTATTCTAATATTAAATGAGCAAAGAAAGATTATTCTTTGAATAAAATAGTGTCATACATAAATTATCAAGAAATGACAAACTAATATTGGGTGTGAGTGAGACATCAGTGCCCGTGTTAATATTCATTTCATCTACGCCCACCCACATCCCGCAATGTTTTGGTTGGTCAAATTTTTGTCCCAAGTAGAGAGTGCATCGTTAAAAGTTTATTTAACACTGCTAAACTTGAGAGCTAAAAGATTCAGAATGATACCTGAGATTAAAATACACTACTAAGTAATGTTCGTATGTCTCACTATTTTAAGTAGAAAAACTGCGTTACACGACGTTACTTAAACGCACGTATGCGGTTCCTCACCCATGCGTGGTAATAATTGTTGTTTGTGGATCCATGGGAGTGTTAGTGAGTTCACTGTTCAGCATCATCAATGCCCTATTGAAACAACAGACTATATTAATTGCAATAAAAGATGACGAATAAATGAATAATTAGTAAAATCAGACCAAATAACATAATTATCAATCATAACTAGAAAATGATGTGTTACGTTTACCATCATTATAATTACTGAATCTAAAAAGAATAAAATATTGAATTTAAAATAAAACTCATCTACTCTAAATAAAACAAGATTGTATTGGAAAATAATTATAGTATAACCAAAATCTAAACAACAAGAGAGAAGACTTTCAACTGTTGAGACTAGGTGCATACTTTAATTTATGTAGTCACAGTTGCAACCTCTATATAAAGCGATAGTTACAGGATAAAAACGACGATGATGATCTCCGATTTAGATGAAAAGTGGAAATCAATTCTAGAGATTCTTTGTCAACATGAATATATCACGTGAGGAGAAATATTTTTTTTATGGATAAACGGCGCTTAATCGAAGAATAATTTAAGAATTTGTTCAAACGAAAAGAAAGTTTATCTGAGCAAGTCTACCATTATTCGAAGAATATTGCCAAAGAGAAATCGAATCTATCCAAAGTTTAACTTTTTTTTGTATTATTTTTATTGCTTCACGTATGTTACATGTATATGACTTATTCCGAATAAAAGTAGTTCTGATATAATTTCAACAGCCACCATGGCATGATAAACTTGCTTTAGTTAAAATACATATATTATAAAAGTGTGTCTTTTAAATCTTTTTTTAAATATATAACAGTAAATTCAGTGTCCTCATTTAACGGTAGAAGCAAACCAAAAGATATGTCTCTTCATAAAGTTTCAAGTCGAAATTCTAAAATCGATTTTTCTAGTGTTTTTGAAAGCAACATTTAAAAACTACTATTAATTCTTAGTATTGTCTCACAACCTCAAAAGCCATTAAATAGTTGGAATAACTTAGGTCTCTTGAGTGTGGGTGTGCCTAAAGAGATATAGTACAATCCGACGCTCACATCCAAGAATTTCTTGGGCAATAAAATAAATATTAAAAAAAGACTAAATGGTAACCGTTGTAGGTCATGATCTAATGATTCTAACGAGATTAGGAAGTTACTTCTATCTTTTGTAGCAAAAAACTAGATAAGTTTAATAGCTCTACATCTAATCACAAAACATTATTCATCCTGATTCAGAATATGGTATTTTTAAAGATTTCAAAAAACAAATTGAAATAAATATTTGACAATTTCTCTATCTTACAAACGAAGAACTTTTTAATCTCGCATGGAATATTTGGAATATCTGTTTATTTTCTTACTCAGTAGGAAAAATCCAATTTTTCTTTCAGTCGATATTACTCATATTCGACAATATAATATACAAATTTCAGTATTTTGTTTTGCTTTTTCTTTTTATCACAGTAGTTTGTTGTCATTACTCAACAACAACTATATGATATTATGAAAACAAGATTTTCTATTATTCTTTGGAAAAGTCTAACATGAATAACCTTATTATTTAGATTAAGTCCGAATAATGATCGAAATAGAGAAGTATTCGGTATTTGCTCTTTTGAATTTTACTAAAGATTGTACCTTGAATAAGAGATCCAAATAAAACATTAAGTCTTATCATACGAATTGTCTTTTTTTCTTATTGACCAAATGAGAAGTTCTGATTGAAATTTCAAAGAAAAAAAAAGAGAGAGAATGTTCTTTTCAAATGATTCATAGAATTTTTATTGCTTTTTTTCTTTTCTATTTT